CTCACTCTCAAAAAGACAAAAAAAAAAAAAAGAAAGAAAGAAAGAAAGAAAGAAAGAAAGAAAGAAAGAAAGAAAGAAAGAAAGAAAGAAAGAAAAAGAAAGAAAGAAAGAAAGAAAGAAAGAAGAAAAGAAAATAGAAGACAGCATCATGGTGTGTGTACCTTGCCTGGACCCAAGTCCACAAGGACCCTCAAGGACAGCCCACAGGTACAGCACAGCCTTAACCACACCACACCTGCCTGTCTAGCTCGGCGTGTGCCCAAAACGAACTGACCATCACTAAGACCAAGCCAGACTGGAACTGCTGAGCCATGCCCAGGCAGCCTGCCACGCAGCCACACCTGGCCTTCTTCTCCAGCTCCTCCTCCAGGGCCTGCAGCCTCCTCTCCCTGTCCCGGAGCTCACGGGCGTAGCTGAAGTCCTCATCCAGCTCCTCCTGTCTGGCCACCAGCCGCCGCTACACAACACACAGTCTTGTTTGCTAGATGCAGATTCCAGGAGCCAGAACCCCCAGAGGCTGGACCCACCCACCTCCTGGTCCTTCACGAACTGTTCCTTCAACTGCTGAAACTGCTCTCGCTTCCGGGCGTCCAAGGCCATCTGTTCTGAGGTCTGCCGGTCTACAGGGGCGGGGTATGGTCAGGGGGAGCCCCAGCAGGGCCCCAGGCCCGCACCGGGGAACGTGGAGCCGTGCTCACCACTGAGTTCACGAAGGACCCTGGAAGCCGCCTCCCGGGCATGGGCAATTAATTCTTGTTTTGCAATTTCCATACGTAATTCCTAGAAGGTCAACCAACAAAGCCTCCAGTTCTTTCCCCTCCTCAAGCTCAGGTGTAATGTCCCCCACCACAACCCCTCCACAGAGGGCACAGGGCGAGGGTATGGGGTTTCTCTGGCTGCAGGCGCCTGACTCTCAGTGGGCAAGGACCAAGCCCCTCATGCTATGCCCACAGAGGGAGTGACGGGCTTGGAGAGCAGGCTCCCTGCTGCCCTCCAGAAACCAGGCTGGGGTTTTCCTGGGAATGGCCCTCGTCCACCATCCATGCCCTCTCGGAGCACACTGAAGACAATGGTCCACTCCAGCCACATATCCCTCTGAGCAGGCAGGGAGGCCACCTGAGTGGAGGAACCACAGGCCTGGTGCCCTGAGTTTGCTGTCTTGTCCACAGCCAGGGGCCCTGGGAAGCCACCATGAACTGCACAGTAGGCAAAGCCACCAACCCAGGGAAAAGGAAAAGAGCCCCTACCCTGGGCACTTGGCTCCAAGACACATTTCTGACACAGCTGGTGTCCCCAGCTGAACACCCACAGTGCCCTAAGGAGCCGCCCCATCTTGCTCAGCCACCCCCTGCACCATCCCAGCCAACCCGAGGCCTGTGTCTAGCACCTTCTCTTCCTTGCTGATGGAGCTGTGGTGGGCCACCCGCTCCATGCGCCCGACATAGACTGCGCAGTCCTTCTCAACCTCCTTCAGCTCCTCGAGGGAGAAAATCACCGAGATGCGCGGGACGGGGATGTCCGACCAGCAGAGGTAGTGCTGCCAGGGAGGGGCAACAGTGAGCATGCGCAGATGCAGGGACAGGTGGGGCTAAGGCACAGTGACACACAAGGACAGTCAAGTGCTTCTGCTTAGAAACTAAGCATCCCTAACCATAGGGCAGCATCGCCTTCATCAGTGATGCAGAGCAAATGTCCCCACAGAAGAGACATCAACAGCCCCCACCCACCACATGGGGCCTCACCTCAAGAGCTGCTGGCAGAGACCAACGCCAGATTCCCACAGAAACCCCTTCAGCAGAGGCTGAGAAGCCCCTGTGGGATCTCCCATCCTCCATACAGAGCCATATTTCTGCAACCAGGCAGAACTGTGGCCAGTGCCATCCCTGGATGGCCTGGCCTTCAGTCCTCCTTGCTGGTATGTGGATGCAGGGCCTCACCTGGGGACAGCAGAGCTTCAGCAGATTGATGGTCTTCCCACAGACATACACGTCATGTGCCACATGCCTCAGGAACACAGGGACACAGTCCTCCACATCTTTAGAAATGAGCACGTAACCATGGGTCCAGTAAGACTTGTCTACACAGGGTATAACACACAGGGCCTGCAGTCACTGTTGCCCAGTTCTTAGGTGCCAACCTCCACCCCGGCGGCCAGGGCCACCCACCTCTGCAGCCAAGGTACTCGTCGTTCACCTGTATCATGAACTCCCCATAAACGTCTCTGAAGACCCCGCTATACACCCAGTCATGGATAAACCTGCAGCAGAAATGGGGCAGTGAGGACACGGCGGGGGGGGCCTCCCACCATGATGCCCAGTCTGAGTCCTGTGTGGCCACCCAGCCAAGTACCCACCGTGTGTAGGGCTCACAGCTGGTCTTCAGCAGGGACAGCAGCACAGGGTAGTGTTCATTGCTGCAGTTGTCCAGCGCCTCCTGGTAGAGGTAGGACAGCAGCCTCACGCCCTGCAGAGGTAAAGGACAGGTTACTGCAAAGGCCTGCATGGACGCTGCCCTGCACGCAGCCAGCACCCTCTGCAGGGATGCAAACTACTCACGGTGGGAAACGAAGCCCTGGGCTCTCCTCCACCAGCCCCGGGGAGTATGGCACCAACACCACAGAGCTCAGCCAGGTACCTAGCAAAGGCCAGATCACAGGTGACCTGGGGTACAGGGCACCCAGGCAGGGCAAGACTGATGCCAAAGCCCCTGAATGTCTTCATGTTCTCCCAAGGGACTGGCTTCTGGCCAGATCCTCTCATGCTGCACCTGGCCCTAACTCCAGCTGCAGGTCCCCTTGCTGCCTGGAACAGGAATTCCCCCCCTCCCCCTCTCTCCCTTTTTACAATAGGGCTGGTAAGAGCTGAGGCCACATCCATGAACCTCCATGTGGGGGCCCAGTCCAGGCAGGGCCGAACCACACAAGGGCCATAAGTGGCTTTGAGGGCTGCATTCCACCCCCAGGCCTTCCGCCCAGCAGACCATCCCTGCCCCCAGACGGACTCCAGTCCCACACTGAGGCTCACCGGAGCTGCCGGCCCAGCTTCTTGAAGAGAAAGCCGATGGTGAGGAGGCTCAGGGTGGGAGGGGTGGCGAGGACGCAGGCTCCGTAGTACTGCAGGTACCTGCGCAGGCCACTGGTGAAGGCCTGTGGATGACAGCCAGCCAGGGACACTGCTAGACCCACATACTGCTGCCACCCTGCAGCCATGGCACAGGAGGACACTGGCCAAGAAGACAGGCCCAGAAGAATGCCAGCTCTGCCAGAACTACAGTCAACACAGCACACAGCCCTGCAGTTTCCCAGGAAGAGACGACCAGGAACAACCCCTGTCCACTACCCCAACAGCCTGGCCTGGCAGGAACTATGGCCCCTCCAGGGCCTGGGTACCCACTGTGACTGGTGCCCTACGGCCAGCAGCCTTGGGTCCCCTGGGGGCTTCCACACTCACTGCCCCTCTAGGCCGTGCACAGCCCTCCCTACAGGATCCACAGAGCCGGAGCCCACTGTAAGCGTGCAACAAAATGGGTTCTAGGAGGCAGGCAGGCTCACTTGGGGCACCTCGAAAGTCAAGGGCACCTTGCCAGGTTAAGTGTAGAAGTTCCACTAGGACAAGAGAAAAGGTGGAGCACCAGACTCTTCTCCAGAGTTGGAGGCATACCTGGAACACCAGGCCCCTGCCGCAGCAGGAGCCCAGGGCAGGCTGCAAGGAGAAGCAGCTGAGGCGCACATAGCAGGTCCCGTACGCGGCCACCTCTGACAGGATGCTGCTGATGCTCTCAGGGGAGGCACCCGACACATGGACGCCCTGTGCCACCACAAAGGCTTGAGCCGGCTACGGGCAGAAAGAGGACCTCAGAGGAGGCACCCAGACCCCAGCATGCTGCCACCCAGTCCTCCAAGATACACACGCAGGAAGTTCCACAAGCAAAAGGCACATGCCTCAAAAGCACACCCCACAGGGCCCCACTCCTAAGTAATGAAAGACAGACAAACTGGAGGAAGGTATACAGACACCTCCAACAACTACTTCCTCACAACACAGGATACATAGACAAATTTCCTTCGGGGAGACGCTTTTAAAGCAGATTTACTGTGGCTGGGCGTGGTGGTGCATGCCTGTAATCCCAGCACTCAGGAGGCTGAAGCAGGAGGATTGCCACAAGTTCAAGACTAGCCTGGGCTGCACGGTGAGTGCAAGGCCAGCCTGAACTACATGGCAAAACTATCTCAAAAAAAAAAACCACAAAAGCAAATTTGCTGCTGGAACTAATACTTGGGCTCCTTGGGACATGTCCAAGGGAAACAGTGAGAGGTGTAGAGACTTGTCACAGCATGTCCCCCTCAACACTGCTGATAGCTCCTGGGGTGGGAACAACCTGCAAGGCTCAGGACAATCTGTGGAACTCAGTGAAATCAGTGTGGCAGGGAAGTGAGAGCTATAAATGGCTACACTGAAAAAGAGATGTCAGATCAACTGTGAAAAGCAATTGACCCCAAAACTAGCAGATGGAAAGAAATAACACAGGTTATATCTGACAAGAAATAGTAACTGGAGACACAAGCGGTCAACTAAACCAAAAGCTGGCTTCTTCTTCCCTCTCTGTCTCTCTCTCTCCATTTCAGTGCTGGAAATTAAGTCCAGGGCCTCACACATGCTGGGCTCTACTACTAAGCTACACCCCAGCCCTAAAAGCTAGTTCTTTTAAAAGATTAATGAGCTGACAAACCTTTAGCTAGAATGAGTAAGAAAAAAAATGACAAATATCAAGTGTGGGTATAAATTCCCTATAATGAATATGATTATGTGTATCTAAAACGTACCAATAAACTTAATTTTTTTTTTGTCTTTTTTTGAGACAGGGTCTCACTATGCAGTTTAGGCTGGCCTTGAGCTCACCCTGTAGCCCAGACTGGCCTCGAACTCGCAACAATCCTCCTGCCTCAGCCTCCCGAGTGCCACCACACCCAGCTGCTAATAAACTTAATTTTAAAAAATGACTATTAATAAAAGCAAATTCAGATTACTAAAATTAAAACAATCAAAAAAATGTAAAATAAAAAAATCAAAGTGGGGACAATCCCACTGATTTAACAAAAATAAAACAAAAAATACCTAAACTGGGGGTGTGGCTCAGTGGTAGAGCACTCACCCAGCACACACAGTGCCCCGGTCTCTATCCCCAACATGAAAAACAATAATAACAGTAATAAAATGAAGGCCGGGCATGGTGGCACATGCCTATAATCCCTGCACTCACAAGGCTGAAGCAGGAGGATTGCTGTGAGTTCAAGGCTAGCCTGGGCTACAAAGTGAGTTCAAGGCCATCCTGAACTGCATAGTGAAACCCTATCTCAAAAAAAGACAAAAAAAAATTTTAAGTATAAAAAATAAGAAGAAGAAGAAAATAAAGCCGGGCGTGGTGGTGCACGCCTGTAATCCCAGCACTCGGGAGGCTGAGCAAGGAAGATCATTGTGAGTTTGAGACCAGCCTGGGTTACAAAGTGCGCTCAAGGCCTGCCTGAACTGCATACCGAGACCTTATCTCCAAAAAGACAAAAAAAAAAAGAAGAAGAAGAAGAAAATAAAATTTATCCAAATTGTAAAACAAGGAGCAAAATTACTTGTTTTTAGGTAACATAATCTTATATATAGAATACCCTCTAGAATGCACAAAAAAGTCTTCAGATCTAACAAATAAATTCAGCAGAACTGCACATTACAAAATCAGCATACACACACCAAAAAAGAAAAAATCAGCACACAGCTGGGCATGCAGGTGCACACCTGTAATCCCAGCACTCAGGAAGCAGAGGCAGTAGGATTGCCATAAGTTTGAAGCCAGCTTGGGCTACATAGTGAGTTCAAGACCAACCTGAACAGAGTGAGACCCTGTCTCAAAAAAAAAAAAAAAGCTGCATTTCTATATATCAGCAATGAAAAATATTTTTAAAAAATTAACAAAACAATGCCATTTACAATATCCATGAAAGAATAAAATAAGTCGGAATAAATTTAGGCAAGAAAGTAAAATACTGCCAGATGTGGTGGCACACATTTATAATCCCAGCACTTAGGAGGCAGAGGAAGGAGGATCAATGAAAGTTGCCGGCCAGCCTGGGCTATATGGTAAGTTCAAAACCCAGAACCTTGTCTTAAAAAAAAAAGTAAAATACTTTCATTGTACTTTGTACAGTGAAAACTACAAAACATTGCTGGGTACAATAGTACACGTTTGTAATCCCAGGTATTTGGGAGGCTGAGGCAGCAGGATTGCAAATTCAAGACAATTCTAAGCAACTTAGAATAAAAAGAGCTGGGGATGTAGTTCAGTGGTACAGTATGTGCCTAGCATACATAATGCCCTGGGTTCAATCCCCATCCAAAAAAAAAAGAATACTGAAAACATTTCAGAAAGGATGAGAAAAATCAAAACTCTAAATATATGTTTATGGATTGAAAAGACTAATATTGGAAAAGCAGCAGTAATACTAGAGACTCAATGCAATTCCTGTCAAAATGTAAAGGACCTTTTTTTGAAAAAATAGAAAACCCATTTTAAAACTCCTGTGTAATCACCCCCCTGCCTTTTTTCTGGTATGGGGAATCGAACTCACAACCTTGTGCTTGCCAGGCAGGCACTGTGCCGCTGAGCTAAATCTGCAGCCTCACTCCTATGTAATCTTGAGGCGGCAAATTAACAGCTGCAGGGCTGGGCACGCTCAGCTGCCCCCTCACCACACGCCACCTGGCAGCGCACACCCAGTGTGTGCAAGGCCTTGGGTTGGACCCGACCCACAAACAGCAGAAACAGCAAGTTGGAGGACTTGCACTTGCCCAGTTCTAAGGTTCCTACACAACTCCCGTCAGCCGCCTGTGTGAGACTGATGATGAGATGCACACAGTGGGGGTACAGGACCCTGAGTCCAGAAACAAATGCTCACGTTTACAGTCAACTAATTTTCTATGAGGACAAGACCCTTCAGGGAGTCAGGATGGTCTTGTCTTTTTTGTGTTTTTGTGTTTTAGAGACAGGGTCTCACTATGTAGCCCAAGCTGGCCTTGAACTCACAGCAATCCTGCTTCAGCCTCCCCAGTGCTGGGATTACAGGCATGTGCCACCATGCCCAGCAAGAACAGTCTTCATAAGCCATGGAGCTGGAAAATTGGATGTCTGGAGTGGAACGGATAGAAGTACAGTTTCTGCTGTTTCACTGAATCAATAAACATCTTACTCCAGCTCAATTTGTAAAAGGATGATAATAAACTAACACTTCAGAACCCAGAAAGGCTGACTGTGGCTGTGATCGAGGCCCCAGTTCCTCACCTGGCAGAGCGAGAATGTGGCCGATGCCACTCCAAGCAGGACATTCAGTGAGTCCTTCACTAGCTCCTGCTCTGTCACCAGCACGGGCCGCGGGGCTTGTAAGAGGCCCCCGCTGAGCACCTGCAACTCCTCTTGGCGGAGCCTACAGAACCTGTCAAAGGCGTCCCGTCCCGCTTCTGTGAGGTAGGGCTCCTCTCTGTGGCCAGGAGGGCTGTGAGGGACACAGAAAGAAGGGTGGTGAGCAGATGGGTAGCACACACCTTGGCCCAAGCATGTGTCCTCTTACGGCACAAAGAAATGGAGGAGAGTGACTCAACTCATACACGATATACACAAAGAGGCGCAAATGCAGTAACTCCCCCGCCTGTGCGCATCAGCCCTGGCTGCACCCGATCCCACTGGGCGATGCCGAGATCCAGAGAGTATCCACCAGCCTGGCCCTGCAAAACTACCCACAGAAGGCCCGGTGTCCTCAGAGTAACAACTCACTCAGAACAAAAGTGCTCCCATTAAAAACAAACACTGGGTTTATCTATCCATGTTAATAAAGCAGCATCCACAACAGCCAAAAAGTAGAAGCAAATTAAGTATCCAAAAACAATGAGTGGATAAACGCAGCGTGGCACGCTCATCAGTGGAACGTCATCACTCAGCCTTAAAAAGGAAGGAAATTCTGACACCTGCTACCATGTGGCTGAGACTTGAGGACACTGCACTGAGTGAACAAGCCAGTCACAGGGAGAATACCATACAACCACATGGACCGAAGTTCCTACAGAGGTCAAACCCTCAGGACAAAAACCAGAGGGACCTACTGAGGCCTAGGGAGAGAGGGAGGCCATCACTGGAGGAGACGGCATCTCAGATTGAGAACGAAATGACTGAACATTTGTATACAGGTGCATGTACTCAGCACACAGAACTGCACACCAGGAAAAGGGTTGGATGGAAACCCAAGCATGTATTTTATAGCCCCACATAAAAGGTACAGACTACTGCTGAACAGGACAGGTAGGTAAAGTGCCAATGGCAGGTGACTGCAGGGCCACCAAAATATGTGCCCTCGAGGGTGTGCTCCTGGGGTGACACTGAGCACCCTGCAGGGCACACCACACATGCTGCACCATACTATACACTCCCACTTCACCTACCTCACACACCACACACACCCACCCTCAGTGCAACTCTATTTGCATCCTGAGTCTCCTGGACACTGAAGGGTGCTCTCCATTTAAGATCCTAAATTTAGCCCAGGGCTGTGTTGCAGGCATATAGCCTTGCTACTTGGGAGGCCAGCTTTGGGCAACACAATAAGATGCCCTTCCTCCACTGCAAAAAACCTCGAGAACACCTCTCCTCCTCAAGAACAACTGTCTTCAAAAACACCTGTCCTCCTCAAGAACACCTGTCTACCGGGATGCTCCTCAGTGCTGATGCTCTGTGATCAGTTCTTTTCTCTACTTTTTTTAATGAAAAAATAAAGCAAAATTTCCTAACAAAGTAGAGGAGTAACAATAGTTAATACACTGTGCATCATAACCTTAAGGGTAGTTACTAGCCAAGCGTGGTGGCACACACACCTATAATCCCACTACTTGGGAGGCTGAGGATCCCCACAAGTTCTAGGCTAGTCTGGGCTACATACTGAGCTCAAGGTTGCTCTGAACTATATGGCAAGATCTTGTCTCAAAAAATAAACAAACAAAACAGCTACTCAGAGTACAAGACATAGATAAAAAAGACTCTTGCAAAGAAAAAGCAAACAGATAATAGCACAAAGCTTTCTTTCAATGAACTAAGAGAAACTAGTAGTTTAATGAATCAAATTATCATATAAATTAAAATATTTTTGAAACAACACAGTAGCTAATTTGAAGAATGCTTGGACTTCTCCCTACTTCCTTTTTAATCTACCATCTATTTTGCTCTTTATTTGTATATATATTTTGAGTTTATCATATAAGAGAAACCACACAATATTGAAGCCTGTGTGTCATACTTACTTCACTTAACATTATGTTCTCAATTGTATCCATTTACCTATGAATGCCTTAAGTTTTATCTTTTTTATGGCAGAATGGTACTCCATTATGTATTCCGTGACCAGTTCTGTGCTTTCAGGGGATACTGAGAAAGGATTAAATGCGTTTAGAGCAAGATGACAAGTGAGCTGTGAATGATCATGTCTCCTAAACAGTGACTAGAAAAACTAACAGAATACCACTAGCAAATACTTCCAAAAGACAACAGGAAGCTATCAGGTTAATCTTTAAACATGCAAGGGGCTGGCAGGAGCAAAACCATTAGATCTGCTTTGTGCACACAAGATAGGACTGATGCCCTAGAGAGTTCCAGGGCAGAAGTCCCTGGAAAGCCAGACAACTGCCAAGGGCACTGTACTGGGAAGCAGGGTACTGGCCATCCCCAGAGGAATCTGAGGGGGCAGGTGACCTCATCCAGGAAAGCCACCCCCAGGGCTTGGTGCCATGCACATACAGGTGCTGAATAACTGCCCCATTGAGTGTTCCTTTCCAGGAGACCCTGCAGGAGCCCCAGGGCTGCATGAAATGGCATGAAGGGGCCCTAGCCCTGACTATTTCACTGTTCCCCCAAGCTGGTCTCCCACAGCCTCACCAGCAAATGGGGTCTGAAGAGGGGTCCATGATCAAACATTTGGGACATGTATATCCTCTACTCCCATTCTGGGAGTTTTCAAGAGAAAACAGCAAAGACCTGGAGAAGTCAGTCCTGACAGCAGAGGCCTCAGGACTCAAACCTGCCCAGGGAGTGAGTGGCCACTCCATGGCCAGCAAGCTGCAAGAGCCAATCGAGAAAAGGCTGCTACAACTAGAACATCACCAGCAAAAGGTGCTACTACTGAGGTTTCTAGATGTGGAAGTCTCCTTGGTCAGCACCTCATGCCCAGAGAGCATCTCCTTCTGCCACAGAGCACAGGCTGCCAGGGAGCCCTCCAACACCAGCCCAGCAGATCTAGGGGCAAGGATAAACTGACTGTTCTGATTGGAAAGTGTGATCCTCAAAGGGCAGTGGTGCAGCTGGGACCTCCTTCCCCCACTGCACCTCTCCTGTTCCTCAGGACTTAGACAACATTGCATATGAAGTTAACTACAACTCCCCACCTAATTCTACCATAGCAGCTTCCAGAAACAGCTGCCTGGAATCACTGAGTAAGCAGTGCCTGCAGTATACCTGATGCCAAACTGCCATGAAGCATATGGCTGGAGGGACTGAAAGGCAAAAAAGGCTTACCATCCGATTCGCTCCCAGCACCTCTGCTTGCTGACCTCGTAGGTTAGCGCAGCTTCCCACAGGTCCACATCTGGAGTCACGCTTGGTTCAGACTGGGAATCAGGAGTCAAATTGGAAGCCGACTGGAACCCTTCATCTTCCCACTGATCCATGCTCTGAGGGACCTGGAGACCACAGAGAAGAGTAAACCTTCATCTAGTCATTTGTCTGAACATCTACATAAGACAGATTCCACAAACTTTATCCATGTGCTTCCACTTACTCACTATAGCGCCAGCCCTGATGTTTCCTCTATTTTTCTCAAGCACATATACATAGCATAATAAATCACTTACAGAATTAAAATACATTAAGGCTACCAACTTTGAGTTTTATATAACTTTATCTCTCTTACTTTTTTGAGACAGGATCTTACATGGCATGAAGGGGCCCTAGCCCTGACTATTTCAGTGTTCCCCCAAGCAGGCTGTCCTTGTAGCCCAGGCTGTCCTTGAACTCATGGTGATCCTGTTTCAGCCTCCAAAGTCCTGGGATCACAGATGTGAGCCACCACACCAGGCTTAAAGACCTTACAATGAAATGTCTTTCACCTGAAAGTTCCATTCTGGGGAAACATAAAATCATACTAGACACACAGCCGGGCATGGAGGTATACACCTGTAATCCAGCACTGGGGAAGCTGAGGCAGGAGGATCACCATATTTGAAGCCAGTCTGGGCTACCATAGTGAGTCCAGGCCAGCCTGAACTATATAGTGAGACTTTGTCTCAAAAAAAAAAAAAAATACTAAATACAAAAAAGTTTGTGTACACCAAGATGTTTGCCATGGCATTATTTATGTTTTGAAATGAGTTAAACATTTCACAGTAAGGAAATGACTACGTAATAACAGCATATCCTTAGCCAGGTGTGGTGGCACATACCTGTAATCCCAGGATTTAAGAGGCTGAGGCAGGAGGACTGCCACAAGCAGAAAGTCAGCCTGAGGTACATAGTGAGTTCAAGGCCAGTCTGAACTACCTAGCAAGAGGCTGTCTCAAACAAAACAAAACAAAAATAACAGTATATCTGATACATTCAGAAACAGGAATACTGAGTGAGCCACTCGTTTTCCTTCACTCAACTGTGGGTATACCAGTCTCGTGAATATCCATGTTTAAGCTTAGGAGGTCGTGATGCCCAAGATGGCAGATTATTAGTTCCAACACCAGTGAGAGACAAAATGAGAGACCACAAAGGGAGGAGTCTGAAGTTAAAGGTGTCTGACCCTTTAAGTACTGGAAGCCTGAGTTATGTGGGGGCTCTTCGAGAGTTCCTCCTCCTTCTGCCTGGTCCTGCTGCCATCCCATGATCTTCCATAAACGTACTTACTACAAGGTGTAGACTTGGCAATTATTTCCTCCCCATATACAAGAACCTGGACTATTTCAGCACACTCAACTGTAACATATCCTTTTACTGACTACTATAAAGCAGTAATTACAAATAACAATTTACTAACTAACTGAGGAAAACACCCTGTGTTATAAGTAGATTATACTGCATGTATACCATGAACAAGTATTTTTGTCACATGTGGATGAAATACGGCTTCCACAACTAACCAACAGATTTCTTCTTTTATTTTAATTAACTTAAATTAATTCTGCTCTACAAGGCAGAAAAAAAAAAAAAAAAAAAAGGCAAAAGAGGAGACTTAACAACATGCCCTGTAGGTTAGGTAAAAGGCTTTCGCCTGCAATTGGGCAGTGCCTCCCTGGGTGGGTGCCCCCATGCCCTCTCAGCACCTCTGCCATCGGACGACCTGGACTACAGCTGTTCTACCTTTACCAGGATACAAGAAAGGGCAAAGATAGCAGTTTCCAAACCCTTGGAGAGAAAGAAGGGGAGACAAACACTACCTTAATGGCCAGTCCAGAAAGGTCTGCGCTGTCTGGCACAGGAGGAAAGTCCAGCCTCACATCCATGTCGTACGTGCGGCTGTGGACAAAGGCACCGAAGAGCGAGACGCGGGTGTCTCTCTCAAACCTGTCACCACAGGGGTCACCAAATGAGAAGAGACCCACGGTGGGCAGGCCGGTGCCTGGCGCCGCCTCCATCACCTGAAGCGTTTCCTGGATCATGCTGTGACTCAAATACTCCTCTCTGGAGATGAGGGACTGAACGTCCATTTCAGACCCGCTCAGACCACAGCAGTCGTAGCCGCTGTAAGGAACGTTTCTCCCCGCGTGCTTGTTGTTAAAGAAATAGTCCCGCTTTCTCCGCAGGATTTGAGGGGGGCCACTCCCCGCCAGCTGAACCAGGAGTTTCAACACGGACCCCACCTCCAGCAGCGGACAGCAAGAGGCCGCCTCCAGCCCCTCCACCAGCTCCTCCAAGCGGTCAGCCTCGGGGCCCAGGCCGCCCACTCTCAGGTCGAAGGACAACATGAGGACCTTGTTTCTCACTGGGAGCTTTGACAGGTCGGGCCGCAGCGGACGAGCGTCCTCTAGGAAAAGATTCGTGAAGAGCGCGTTGTAGGCGACCCTCTTGAGGCCCTGCTTGGCCCGCCTGCGGTCCACGCTGCGCTGCCCGGGGCGAGGCTGCACCGCGGGCAGGAGGGCCTCGCACAAGTCGTCGAACAGCTGGGTGATGCTGGCCATCACCGCCGAAGGCGGAGGCGCGGGCGGCCACGGCCAGGCGACTCCTTACCCGAGCCCCGCGGCTCGGGACGCGCTCGCCCTCCAGTCCCCAGTCCGTCCCCTCACGGGTCGCCGACCGCGACGAGCAAACCCGCAGACGTGACTGCACGCGCCGGCCTCGACCCCGGACCGGCACAGGCCGGGACGCGGCGGAGCTTGAGGAGGGAAGGGCCGGGTTCGCTCTCCCGCCGCCTTGACGTCACAGCAAAGCGACGGGCCGACCGCCAGCACCGACGCGCAGGAACTACGTCACCAGACCAGCGGACTTCCGGCCCTCTAGGCCGGGATCTCGCCGGTGGGTGGACTGAGGTCCCAGTGCGGCTCAATAAAGGAAGCGAAGTCAGATGCTATTTAACGGGCGTTTACTGATAAGCTGGGAGGGACTGCGGGCGGGGCCGAGGTGTCGGGCCGCTCCAGGGATCGGCTGCGCGGCGCTCCCACGGTGGACGGCCCCAAAGGAGGGCCCGGAAGTGGCGCAGAACGGGCAGGCTCGGGGCCACCGCTTCCCTCCACCGGCTCTGAGACCGACACCCGCACCATCTCCCACCGCGACTGCAGCTGCGCTCGCAGGCTCATCAGGGCCTGGAGGTCCTCCTGAGAGGCCGTAGAGAAAGGGCCCAGGCTGGGCGGCGCCTCTCCATACAGACCCAGGGCCAGCGCCTGCGCAAGCTGGAGTGCAGATTCCTGGGACAGAGACGAGGCGGGGCAGTGAGTCCCTGGTTTTCCCCGCTACCCCACCTGCAGCCTTCTACCCTTCCAGCTCACCTCCCCAAGGAGAGCTAGAACTCGGCCGCTTGCCGGCCCCCGGAGCAGTGCAGCCAGAAGAGCCGCCTGGGGGTCCTGAAGGCCATGGTCGGGCCCCAGCGCCACCAGCACCAGGTCAGGCCGGAAGCCATAGGCCAGGGGCAGCACCAGGCCCAAGATGCAGCTCAGGAACCCTCCAGTCGTCTGTAGGGACAGCAGCAGGGCCCAGCCCCTCATCCAGGGGACACCTCCCTGCTGGCTTCTGCCAGCTCACTTCCCAACCTCAGAGCCTCTGGAGTCTGAGCAGGGAGACAGGAGAGGCAAGGGCCTGTGTGTGCGCCTAACCATGCCAGGGAGCACCTACCCTCCCCGCCCCCCCCACACACACACAGTCACTCACCCCTGGCAGTGGCACGGAGACATGGTGCGTGGACAGTATGGATGCTTCCTTACCCCGGATGTTCAGCCACAGAATTCTCCTTCAGGGAGAGAGGACCAGGGACCCATGCACAGGAACATGGACAGCAAAGGAGAATTCAAGGCCCCCAGTAGGGAGGGGACGGGTGTGTGCCTCTGGCCTGTTGTTCCCACCAGAGCCCCCTCCCAAACACCGGCTGAGGAAGGCTGCATTCTGTATTAACAGTGCCCCACCCACTGGGGCCTGCATTCGAAGGCCTGTCGCACACACATCCACCTGCACAGTGAGAGATATGTCACCTAGGAGTCGTACCCATCATCAACAAGGTCCAGTGGCCGATCCAGCTGTCCCAGCACCACACAGAGAACCCTGAGGAAGAGTCAGCCAAGGTCAGGCTGTGCGCCACACCACCCAGAGGCCATTCCCAGGACCCTCTCCATGTGGCTTTCAGGGAAACAGGCACGCATGGCCCAGGTGAGACTCACCTCTGAGCTCCAAAAGACAAAGCTTGGCAAATGGCTACATCCAAGGTGGCTGCTACAGCCCGTGCTGGAGCGACTGCAACTCCACTGCTTACCTGTGAGGTGAGGTAATAGCCAACTCTCAAAGCAGATAAACACCCATTCACTGAGCTACATTCCCAGCCCCTGTTATTTGAGATAGGGTCTCACTCAGTTGCCCCAGCTAGCCTCAAACTTGTGATCCCATCTTACTTTTCCAGAGTGCTGGGATTACAAGCATGAGTCACCACATCGAATTTATTCACACCATTTTCAAACCCTGACTACATTACTGTTACTGACCTCTTACATGTAGAGGTCAAATTTATTTCTGTAAACAAGATGCTTAAAACCAAAAAATGAAAGCTGGGCATGGTGGCGCACACCTATAATCCTAGCACTCCAGAGGCTGAGGCAGGAGGATGGTTGCGAGGTTGAGGCCTGGCTGGCATACAAAAATGAGTTCAAGACTAGCCTGAACTGCATAGTGAGACCCTGTCTCAAAAAAAAAAAAAAAAAAAATTATCCACTTTCCCTCTCTGTCGAAGAGCATCTCCCTGGGCTGTTCTGAGACTGATCCCTGCCCAAGGTAACACATCCCTGTGGTCTATATTCACAGCCCTCTTGGGTCCACAGCCCCTCCCCAGCAAACTACCTGCCCATCCAGAATCCCATTTAAGAGGTACAGGAGCTTCCCAAGTGCAGTGAGGGCCTCATCCTGAGCCAGGGACTCATGTGACCTGTGATGATGGGCAGGCCGGACACAAACACCAGGTGACAGCACATCAGTCACACAGGCACAGACATACACATGCGCACAGCACCCTCCCCAGCCTGCCCTGCCCACCTGACCCAGGCTTGTGTCTCCCACTTCGGGGCTGACTCTTCCTGATGCAGCACATCAGGGGGCAGAGCCCAGGTGGTATGTGGAGCAGTCAGGGCAACAGCCATTCGCACAGGGGGTGTAGGGTGTTGGTGCTGCTGGTCCAGGAGCCTCAGTGAAGTCACCTCTGCCTCTGCCTTACATACAGGATCCTTGGGCAGCAGCCACAGGGGTCTCCCCTCTGGGGAGTGGGTGCTGGTAGTCAGCACAGGAGACACACCTACAGGAGGTTCAGAGTCAAGGTGACTGCATAGGACCCCGAGGTGGCAGCCATAGCCCAGACCTAGGTTGCGCTGACCTTGCTGCTGGAGGCTTTTCCAGTGAGGGGCCTGCGCTGCCCGGACACTTTGGATGGACTCCAGGGCACTGTGGGGAGAAGCAGAGTGGGAAGTCCAGCCTGCCTCATACTCCAGGCCCTCCCACCTTCCGCCATTCTCACCTCTGACACGGTGCCATGGGCCCCAACAGGGCAGGTGTGGGGTCACCTAGCAGCGCCCGCACAGTCATGCACACTGACTGTGCCAGGGACTCAAGGTGGTAACCACCCTGGGGAGAGTGAAGACAGTAAAGGGAGGAGTGTCCCTGGGGTGGGCAGGGCACCCCACCCCTCTGGCCCAAGCACCCTTCAGCTGCCCCCTATAGTCACCTCTAGCACTGCACAGACACGGCCACCAGCTAGCACCTGCAGTAGCTGTGTGAGGTGGGCAAAGCACTCTGGTGTGGCCTGCATCTGCCCCTGGAACCAGAGCCACATGAGAGGGGGACCTGGGCCCAGAACGCCAGAGACCACCCCCCCAGCCAGGACAGGCCCTCACCTCCGGGTCCCCAATGGCTGAGTCAAATCCTGCCGAGACCAGCACCAGCTCAGGGTCAAACTGTGGGTGCAGAGGCAAAAAGAGGCTGTAGCCTAGGCAACAGGGAGGCCTCATTGTCCGGCTAGCCCTCTTGAGACCCGACTCTCAGAGGTCCACTGACAGCAGCTCACAGCCCTCCTCCTGCCTTCACAGTAGAACTCTGGGCAGGCATGAGGTCCACTGCCCTAGGGGACACCCACCTCAAAGGCCACCGGAAGCAGCACGTGCAGGAAGGCAGCCAGGTAGTCAGCGTTTTTCATCCCAACCTGCAGCATGGAGCAGGGGAGGCATCAGCAGGAAACCCTGCAACTGGACTCTGGGGTTTTCACCCTCTGGAACCTGGACTCTGGGGGGATCTAGTGGGATCCACCAGGCTACATTCTGGAGTCCTGGAGGTGAGGGGTAGGACAGGTACAGGCAGGAAGGTGGGCTGGGTAGAGGGTCCAGGGTTGAGGGCAGGCACCTGGTTCCAGGGCAGATTGACAGTGAAGCCACGGCCCTGTCCCTGCCCAACAGTGTCTGCGTCTGACTCTGGCAGGAAGGGCCAGAAGCGTCCATGCTCATATCGGTGCCAGGAGAAGTAAAGGACACTGCCAAAAGCCGGCCAGGCCAGAGGTCAGAGGTCAGAGGTCACAGCCTTTGGCCACCCCCATGACCCTCGAGCACATGGCCATCTCCCCTTTGGGTTTTTCCAAGTCACAAAAGGGGTTGCAGGGAAGGGTTGTGTCTCCAAGCTCAGCTCACCTTGGGTCATCCTCGAAGATATACTGGATGCCCTGGCCATGGTGAATATCCCAGTCAACAACGAGGATCCTGGGTTCAGATGGCAGTGAGGGTCATGGAAAGGTGAGACCTCCCACCTCAAGGCTGCAGCCCACTCAGGATGGGAAGGGACTGGGTGGGTCTAAGGCACCTGTTCTACCCCTGCCTGCCGGGTCCAGGTCCCCCCACTCTTGTAGCCACACACACACCTGTGCAGCCCATGTTTCCGCTTGGCATGTTCAGCTGCTATAGCCACATTGTTGAACACACAGAACCCATTGGCAGCTGCCCTCTGGCTGTGGTGCCCAGGAGGCCTGGGGGTGAGGGGCACAGCAAGGTCATCCTGTTCCCTCACAGGAGGCACCCACATGAGGCAGGTAGTGCTCACCTCACCAGGGCAAGCCCATTGCGTGCGGCTCCTGTTAGCACAGCATCTACCAGCTGCAGTGCAGCACCCACGGCAAGCCGGGCACAGTGAAAGGTTCTCTGTGGATAGGGGGTGCAGATCAGCCCCAGCCTGCCATACCTGTGCCAGGCTGTGGGTCACCAACTTGCAAGCACAACAGGCTAGGCTGGCCCTGGGATGCTGGTGGTAGCAGCAGGCTGAGCTTGCAGGGCATTGTCACACTCATGACCAAGGGGACACAGGCAGACAGGCTGTCAGTAACGGGGTACACATAGGCACTTGGATGCATATCTGGGTGGGTGAGCATGTACAGGGGTACTCCAAGGACACACCGGGTGGAAGTAGACAGCATCGAACTGTCCAGAAAGTGCCTGGAGCTCCTCTGTCCCCAGAGTCTGGGTCCTCCGCACTAGGGCCACGTACTCTGGGCTGCAGACGGTCAAGCAGGCAACCAGGTCACCAACAGGCACAGGGGATGGAGGGAGAAGGGGTTGGGGTTCCTGCCAGTGCCCAGGCTCCTCCCCACGGTGAAAGAGACACGCGGAGAAAGGGCTGTGTAAACAGGTGCTGATGGGGGTGTCCAGCTCGTGGGCTCCTCCGACCTGTGCACCAAGCTCAGTTCTGCCTCCGAGGCCTCGCGGGCTGCCACGCGTAGGCACCTCTGTTCCAGGCCACACTGCCGGAGGCCGCCCAGGGCTGCAGCCAGGCGCTCAGGACACTCGATCTTGCACTCCGGGCTGGGGCAGACAGAACGCTCAGTGTCCTGAGTTCCCTCGGCAGCCCTACCCCCACTAGATCACACTTACTCGTCCCAGAGCAGCCGGGTGGCCATCATGTCCTCGTGATACACGAGAGCGGTCCCCATGGATACACTGTGGTCACTGCACTACGCCTTCCGCTGACTGCACGGCCTGCTCCCCCAACCCCTGCAGCCCGGGGGCAGCTCAAAGCCTGGGAATGAGCTCGGAAACGGGGCCAGCGCGAACACACAGGCCCGGGGTGCCCTGGGATCCCAGGAGTGGCTTCCTGGTCAGGTCCCGCCCAGCCCCGCCCCCCCACCTCGTAGCACTGCCCCGCCGCAGACTCCAGACAACTCCGCCCCCCGAGTGCCCGCCCAGTGCCTGCTGGGACAGGAGCCTGGAGGCCTGGGGTCCCTCCTGCGGGCTGTGTCGGTGGCCTTCCACCCGAGACGTCCCCGGCTGCGGAGCGGCCCCGGGGGCCCCCGGCCCCGAGAGTGCGGAGGGGAGCGGGGGTGCGAGCGCTGCCTGGGCCAGACCGGGTCAGCACCGCAAGGCCCCCACAGGCGTCAGGAAGGGACGGCCTAGGTGCGACTCGGGCTCCGGGAAGACTCCCGACGGAAAAGGCGGTGGGAAGCAGAGGCGGGACAGGGCCGGCGGCCGGACGCAGGATAGGGGACAGAGCGAGGCGGCGGGGAGGACGAACGGTGCGCCGCGCAGCGCTGAGGCGAGGCGACCCGAGGCCGCACCCACGAGGAGCTCACACCCAAATCCAGTGTCCGGCCGCGCCCTACACCGGGCGCGTGCCAGGTTCCGGCGCTCAGCGCGCGCTCATTGGCCGCGCGGGGCCACGTGCCGCGCGGGGCGGAACCTGGGGCCCGGGGACCTGGGACCGCGCTGCTTTTGCCGGTGCGAAGGAGCCGGCGGAGGAGCCAGGCTGCTCCCGCCCTCGGTCTGTCCTCTCCGAGCCAGAGGGGCCTCGAACGACCTGCAGGGGACGCCTCACGCTCGCCGGTGCCGCCCGGGGCGGGCTCGGGGAGTACAGAACCCGACCCTGGGCGCCGTCCATCAGAGGCTGTTTGTTTGTCCCCTCCCTACCCAGAACTTTGTTCTGGAGGGGACGTGGGCAATCAGTGGGCTGCGACCCCATGCGCCATCCCTGGGTTGGGCTCCAGGAAGGGCCCGCACCTTACTGAGATGTTCTAAGGGCCCTAGGACAGGGCGGGGAGGTGGGCACCAACTTCCTAAACGGAGGGAGGAGGCGAGCGCGGGAGCTGCATGGATCGGAGCCACCTCATTTGTACAGGTATTAGCTGGGCTGAGCAGTGCCACGGCGTCAGGCTGCACACTAGAGTGGGAGGTCCACCAAAGGGTTTATTTCCTTCCTGGTGGGTGGGCACAGCAAAGGGCTAGTTTGTGCCCCAGGATGGGATGCAGGAGTGTCCACAACGCCCCCACACATTCCAGGGGAGCCAGTGTCCCTGAGTTGGTACCCTGAGCCCTCCCTCTCCTTCCTTCTCACAGACTGCCAGCCTTGAGGCTTTCTCCAGCATCCTGGTAGAGGGAGCGACTGCCCCAGGGGCCAGAGGCCAGCCCAGGTTAGGCAGGGTCCTGTGCAGAAAGCGCTGGAGCACGGATCAGGAGAGTCCGCAGGTTGAGGGTCTATTCAGCCTCTCCAACCCCCAGCAAGATAGGGTAGTAACCAGGGTTCCTCTCCCAGGGGAGGCCAGCGTGTGAGGCCCCTCGCCAGGGTCCTTATGGTGTCCCTGCGCCACCCAGAGGTCTTCACAGGGCTGTCTCCTTGGTGGCCCTGGCCCCCAGCTGCCTGGGAGGCTTGAAGCTGAGCACTTCTTTATAAGTGACACCTGCAGAGGGTGAGACACGGGACAGTTGCCCTTTGTTTCACCATGGGCAGAAGCCAGGGCTTCCTGCGTCTTTCCTCTAATCCCAACTGGCCTAAAAAGCTGCTTTTCTCAGGAAAACAGAAGGTCCAGGGGCTCCGGCCACAGTAAAAGCAGGATCTCCCAGCCACAGTATGTGTGGGTGGGGACCACAGACAGGAACCTGCGGCCTGTGGTTTTGAGTTATCTTGCTTGGCAGCAGAAGCCTTTCATCACACAGAAGCGAACCCATGACACAGCAGAGAGGCAGACAGCCCCTGGTAGAGGTGCAGCAAGCCCTGATTGGAGGGCCACAGCCTTCCAGGCCCTCTCACTCCAGGTACAGGGTTGTGGCCCTGGCTCTGCGGGTGACAGAACAAGGCCTGGGATCCAGTGGCATGGCCCAGTGCTGAGTTGCACCCTCAGACAAGCCAGACCCTGGGCTGAGCTGCATAACTGCCTGCTATTCCAGAATAGTTTGGGGCTTGGATGCAGGGGCGGCGGGCTTCCTGAGCCCATTGAGGCCAGTCCTCAAAGAGGAAGAGAAGGCCCTCAGTATAAGAGGTGCAGCTGGCACACAGCCCAGGGTGCAGAGCAAGCCACCATGGTGGGGTGTGATAGCTCAGAGGAGCTATAAGGGGCAGGCTTGCCCTTGCGGGCAGGACAGGAGCAAATGGGGCAGGGGTCTTGGAATGGGGCAAGAAGAGACAAGGACAGTTCAAGAGGTGTGAGCAGAGGCCTGCCGACAAGTGAAGGGAGCTCCAAGCTCTCTGGCTTAGATACCGGGGAGGCTGGGCCACTCGGAGAAGCCAGGGGGCACTGCTGCTCTAAGCTCAGAGCCACTCCAAAGCTCCTGGGCTCATGGGGACCAGCCCTTGTACCAGGCCCTACCAAGAACATCCTTTCCACTGCCTCATACTCCAGCCAGAGGTCACGTTGGCCAAGCTGCACAGCCCTGCACTCCCATCCGCTTCCTCACTGGACCTCCACAGCGTCTGCACGCAAGCCCTGCCCACAGCCCCAACTCACGCTTCCACTCGTCCAGGGTGCGGTCCACGTCGTCAAAAGAGTCATCATACTTCTGGGCCTTGGGCTCGTCTTCTGTGTCGTGCAAGGATTCAAAATAGGGGTGGGCCAGTGCCTCAGCCGCTGTTACTCGCTGCTCTGAGTCCAGCACCAACATCTTCTCCAGGAGGCTCACAGCTGGGGGCAGCCACAGGCCAGGTCACAGGGAGGCCTTGCGCTCAGGGCCCCCGACTCCCCCACCAGCCAGTCGTACCCATGGGGCTGGCACTGGTCAGGATAGAGGCAAAGTCCTTCTTCTCCAGCTCAGGAAGGCCCTTCATGTAGTTCTTAGCCTGTGCAGGAGAAGAGTGAGGGGCCGGGCCCAGAGCCAGCTGGCTGGCCCACCCAGCCCCCCACAGACCTCTGCGCTCTGTAGTTTCTGCACAAACTCAGCAGGAGGTGTCCCTGTCACCTTCATAATCTCCTTCAGCTGGTCCAGGTCTGCACCGAGGTCAGGAGCACAGCACAGGGCCAGAGGGCAGGACCCACACCCGCACACCCACACACCCACCTACCACTCAGGCAAGAGCCCCGCAGTGCCCCAGTGGGAGGATACGATCATTGCCCTTGAACAGGGTCTTCCCTGTAATCATCTCCGCCATGATGCAGCCCACTGACCAGATGTCCACTGAGACAAGAGCCCCGTCAGCGTCCCATGGGCAAGGGGTGGCATGCACAGACATGAGGGGTAGGGTGGGGGGACAGGTAGGGAAGGTTTGCCCTGCCCACACTCTCCCTGGGTTCCCACCCCAACCCGACAGCCTCCTCAGGGCACAACCTCTGTGGGCCTCCCTATCAAGAAACAGGGAGCTCAGGGGCAGAGCTCTAGCCTAGCACATGTGAGCCCCTAGGCTCCATCCTTGGCAGAAGCTGAAAACAAGAAAGGAGGCAGGTTGCAGTGCAGAGGGCCCTGGACTCTCTGGGGGGCCCTCACCCGTCTGCGTGTAGTGCATCCAATTCAAGATAACCTCAGGTGCCCGGTACCACCGGGTCACTACATATCCTGTCATCTCGCTGTCTGCCTGTCGGGCCAGGCCAAAGTCCAGGATCTGAGGGAAGAATTGGGGACCCAAGGAGTGGAACAGGCAGCGTGGTCCCAGAGAACCCAAGGGGCCTGGGCTTCTGCCACCCTACCAGGGCTCAAGTTCAGGACCCTGGACCCCAAGGTTTCTCCCTGGGTCCTCCCAGTGGCCAGTATACCCAGATGGACCCACTCAGGGACAGGTGCCAGGGTTCTCCTCACCCTGCTCCACCATCCCCAGCTCACCTGGGTCAGGCATGGGAGCTGGTGTGCCCTCCACCTCACTGAGGCAGGTATAGAATGTGCCCAGTGCCACTCCAAGTGCCTCATCATGCCCCATCACCTCCTCAGCCTGGGCCCAAATGCCCTGGACCTCTCCTTCTGCTTGGGCCTGAGCCTGGCAGGTAGAGAGGACCCTCCGCCCCACCCTGGCCACCCTCCCCTCCCAGCCACACCTTCAGCTCACAGTCCTCATTCACAGCCAGGTTGCCAGGCTTCAGGTCCTAGGCAGAGGCAGAGGAAAGGTGACCACTGTGCCTTATGACTTGAGCACATGCAAGGCCAACGGCCAGTACGATACCCACAGGGGCCACCAGACAGGGCCTGGCCCTTTGCCCCTACAGCCCTTCAAGGGAGAGTGCAGGGGCTGGGTCCCCAGGGGTTGCTTACAAGGGACCATTCATGGGACCCTGTGTGCACCCCCAAGCAGACCCCACTGTACCCTTCTTACATGCAGGAAATGGAGATGGGGGTGGAGCCCCTCACGCTCACAGCCAGGGAGGAGGACTTACCCTGTGGATGACACCAGCAGCATGGATATACTGTGGGGAACAGCCAGCAGCCGTCAGTGCAGGGACCCCAGCCAGAGCCCTGCGGCCCCTTCCCACGCGGCCCCACAGGCCCCACCTTCAGCCCCTTCAGAATCTGATACACGAGGAACTGGATCCGGTCCTCACTCAGCGTCTCATGCTTCATGAGCTTGCCAAGGTCAGTACCCATGAACGGCATCACCAGGTAGCTGTAGGAAAGGGCTGGGGGCATCAGTGGACAGGGCCTGGCCGCGGATCTGGGCCAACGCCCACAGGGCCCAGGCTCAGACCCCAGAAGATCCCATCCCAGCAGGAACTCCCCAAGTGCCCCCTGCAACAGCCATCCCCCTAGCCTTGCGGTTGTCACCACCCCTACCATGCTATGCCGGGCTCTGTCCACCACTGGCCCCACCTGTCACTCAGAACAACCCCACCTTTCCAGACATGTGCCCTCCACAGCTACTCCAGCCCCGTCCCCAGCACGGAGCACTACAGTGTCTGGGCGTCCAGCTGAAGCGGGCAGCAAGAGGGCCTACAGAGGGACCCTTGAGTCTAAACTATGGGCTTGCAGGTGGAGGGGAGGATGGTGGAGTGGTATTAGCAACCCCAAAGGACCCTGGTGTGGGCCTTGATCTCTGCCAGCCAGGCAACAAGGAACCTGCTGCCCCTCCAGCCCCTCCCAGCTCCACCCTCGGCTTCCACCAGCAGCAGGGTAAGTCAGGTGGCCAGCGCAGGGCAGGCTCCTCAGGCCAGGGGCAGGGTAGGCCTCCTGGCTACGTCTGCCCTCTCTGCCAACAGTCAGCAGCTTTGGTTTCAGGTCACGCACTGGTGCCAGGGTCCCAAGCACGGGCCCTGCCTGTTCATAAACACCAAGTCCAAGGTTCACACCTCCAGCACTTTGAGGGGCCAGGTGTCAGTCATGGAGACAGCAGAAGGCCCCAGCTCTGCCGGGGCTGCCAGGGTCCTTGGACCTCAGAAGCAGTAGGGGTGTAGCGTAGACTGTGATATAAGGCAGCCCCCAAGCCAACCCAGAACCTGAAGCCCCCACCCCAGAGCCGCTCATGCCTCCCCCAGCCTGCCTGGCAGGCCCAGGTGGCACTCACAAGTCTGTAAACTCATCCAGCGTCTCATCAGGAGTGAACACATCCAGGAGCCCGATCACCTGGAGGCAGGGTATCGGGCAGAGTTGGGGGCACACCAATGATATAGGGATCAGCACCACCCCCAGGGTGTCCTTGTCTGTGCCCAGTGGAATGTGGCCCAGCCCTGGCACACTTGCCCACACACAGACTATTTTTGGATGGTGACAGCGAGGATCCTCTCAGGAAGGGGCAGCCCCACGTCTGGGCTGGCTCCCAGCAGTCCCAGAGCTCCAGCCCTTTTGCCTTCCCTCTGCCTTGTCCTCCCCCTAACCAAGCTGGCCCAGGACCAGGCTGGACCCCTGGGAAGAGCCAGCATCTAGTAGGTCCCTCCTGAACCGAGGTCAGGCGGAAGCACTGTGACCAGCCAGACCTGGGCACCTAGGGCCCCTGGTTAAAGGAGATGGACATCAGCCAGCCATTGTGACACTGGCCACCCTAGGCCTTGGGGGTCACAGGGTGTGCAGGGGCCCTGAGAAGGGCTGTGCATGGAGCAGCTGGAGGGGCAGGTGGGTGTGGCAGCAGGGTCACATGTACAGTAGCCAAGACTGGAGAGAGAACACCTTGAGTTTGAGGAATGGGAAGGAAGGCCAGGTGGCCAAGGCCCAGGCCAGGAGGAGCCAAGGAGAGGGCAGAGGGAGGCCAGGCAGGACTCTTTCTCTCTCACACACACACACATGCATACACACACACACACATGCACAAAATCTGCTTTGATTCCAAGAGCCGTGGAAGGGTTTAAACCAGGGTGTGACAGTGAACATGAGCACCTGGCTGCCTTGTAGGCACACGGTGGAATGAGCAAGAAAGGACAGGAGGTAGAGGGCAGCTGGGTGACCACATGAGGCCAGAGTGCAGGGAAGAAAAGGGACTGGTGGAGGCCCAGGAGTGCCCAGCAGAGCTCCAAGACAGGGAACCAGGTCCTGAGGCTGAGGCAGTTCTGTTGGTGGGACAAGACTTCTGCACCTCTGTGATAGAGACAGAGGCCCAGAGCAGGAAGAGAGGAGGCCTGAAGTGGCCAAGGGAGAGCACACGGCAGGACTGTGTCCCCAGCGAGTGTGGCACTCAGCCTTGCCAGGCCCCAGTTTCCCCATGGGACTGGTGGCCAGAGCCTCCCAGCTCAGGCTCAGGACATCCTGGAGGCAGCAGTGCCTCACTGCATATAGGGCGGGGGCCTAGTGGGGAGAGTAGGCCCCGAGCATGACCCCAACACAGTGTGGGTGGCCCTAGCTGGAGGGGAGCAGTGACTGAGGGAGCCCAGAGCCCTTGGCTGGACAGGGACAATGGACAGGCAGAGGGGGAGGCACTGAGGGGCATCTGGGGAAGATGACACCAAGGATGGGGAGCCACCTTACAGGGTCAAGGCCCAGCTGTCAGGTGTAGGTAAGGAAGCCTGGCCACAGATGGACATCATGCAGAAAGGGGGCCACACCCAGGGCCAGGGCAGACATGGGTGCCTAAGAGAACAGGGGACCACAGTAGCCAAGAAGGGCCAGGAGCCACAGGGGTCTGTCAACTGTGGGCACAGCACTTCATTCTCCCAGGGGACTGGCAGCCCTAATAAGCCAGGATGTGGGTGCCCAGACTGAGGTGGGAGGGACTGAATTCATGGCTCCAGGAAAAGCAGCAAGAAAGAGCTCCCCAGAGAGAAAACCACTCTTACAACCAGCAGTGGCCACCGGGAGGCCCAGGGACAGGGCTGTGGTACCCCACGGACAGGGCTGGGAATGAGACCCACCCCAGACCTGCAGTGATGGGGATGCTCTCCAATGCCCCCTCCTAAGCCTGCTTCACTCACAACCCCTAGGGCAGTGATGGCAAACCTTTTATAGCTTTCAGTGACATGAACAGCCCGCTGAGGCACGGTTCCCCACACTGCCTAGGCTCTGCTGTGGCAGTCACAAGGCCTGGCCTTGACCTGTATTCCAGGGGACCACTTGCCTCAGGAGAGGGCCATCATCAGGGCTGGAGGAGGCCTGGCGTGGGGAAGAGGCAGGTGCCCTTCCAGGAGGGCTTCCTCTGCCCAGGAGCGCGCTGTCCCACCACGGGGACAAGGCCCAGATATGATGGGGCGGTGGGAAGGCCAGGTCACAAGTCACTGTCACACAGAGAGTGGCCCAAGCCCGGGGCCACCCACCAGCGTGAAGACTGGAGGACCCCTGGCTTGGGCAGGTCACTGCCCCTTGGCCCGACCTGGGCTGGGGAGCCAGACTCAGGCCCAAGCCAAGCCGCGGGGCAGGGGCGGAGTAGGGGTCTGGCCGTGGGGTCCTCACTCCCTCCTGGTGCGCGGGCGGCCTCGGGCGGGCGCGCGCACTCACGTTCTCGTGGCGCATGTGCTTGAGCAGACGCAGCTCGCGGTAGGCGCGCTTGGCGAACAGCTCGGACTGGAAAGGCCGGTACAGCTTCTTGATGGCCACCTTGGCGCCGGAGCGGCTGTCCACGGCCGAGCTGCGGGCGGGCGGGCGGGGAC